ATTAACTTAAACTAAATTAAAACTATCTGCTGAAACTTATCAGCAATATAAGATTTGCAATCTAATTTTTAAATAGTTTAATATTTTAAAAGGGGGTATATCATTAAATTTTTTCTGGCATCCCCTTCCTTTAAGGCCTGGCGTAATTACCTTACAAAAATTAAATATACGTATTTTTAATTTTTGGAAGGTAATTAATAATTCCTCTATCTGCTGAAACTTATCAGCAATATAAGATTTGCAATCTAATTTTTAAATAGTTTAATATTTTAAAAGGGGGTATATCATTAAATTATTTTTCTGGCATCCCCTTCCTTTAATTAAAAACCGGTACTAGTTACTTAGTAACTAAAGCTTACTATCAAAAAACTTATTATAATACCTTAACTATCAAACCATTAAAATTCACAATCTTATAATTATAATATAAGGTAATAACTTCCTTCACGAAAACTTTATTAACTTATCATATCGAACTCGAGGGTATGAAGCTCGAATAAACAAAAATATAAGTGAAAATAATCTAGAAAAGCCGATAATCACTATAAATCTTATCACAGCTCTTATTTTCACTACTTGTGAGAGTCATATGACTAAAAATTAAAGCAAAAAAACCTGAATGAAACTCAACATTAAAACCTGACACCAACTCAGATTCACCTTCAATTAAATCAAAAGGAGTTCGATTTATTTCAGCTAATGAACAAATTAAAAAGGAAACTAATAGATATATAAATATATACCCATATATATTTATAGGAGTTATAAATTCTTCAAACTCATAACTTATTACTACTAACCCTATTAGTAAAAAAATAAATCTTATAATTACTCATAAGAAACAGCTTGTTTTACCGCTCGTATACCCCCTAATATATAAAATTTTGAATTTCTTAATCAACCCCCTATAATTAAAAAATATACGCTCACCCCTATTAACATAATAAACACTAATAATGGGTAATCATTTATTAGAGCGAAGGATCCTTGGGTCAGCACAAATTCGAAAAGGACCAAATAAAGTCCTAGTGATAGGACTGGTGCAGCCATTCATAGATGCCATCAAGTATAAGTATATACAAATATACCCTTAGAAAATAACTTGATGGCATCTATGAATGGCTGCACCAGTCCTATCACTAGGACTTTATTTGGTCCTTTTCGAATTTGTGCTGACCCAAGGATCCTTCGCTCTAATAACGTATAAAAGGACATTCCTACTAATAAGAATCCTTGGGTCAGCACAAATTCGAAAAGGACCAAATCTAAAGACCAAAATAGCTTTATCAAAATCTTAACTTTTGAGCATAATATCTGCCACAATACCCTTAAAGGAAGTGTTGCCAGCGTTGCCCGTCACGCCCCCCGCCCCATTCTTCTCTTCTTCTCTTTTTCTCTTCTTCTCACCCCCCACCCACCCCTATATATGTTCACTTCGTTCATTTCATTCGTTTCACTTTATCTGGAATTAGGAGAATAGTTATTCTTTAATAATATGGATATTATATATGTTTAGATAGCGATGAATTACATCTACCTCACATAAAGATATTGGTATTTTATATTTTATATTTGGACTCTGATCTGTATTTTTAGGGACCGCCTCAAGAATAATTATCCGAACTGAACTATCACATTCATCTTCATTAATTAATTCCGGGTCTAGTTATAACATAATCGTTACATCTCATGCCCTAGTTATAATTTTCTTTGCCATTATACCTATTTTAGTTGGAGGTTTTGGTAATTGATTAATTCCTTTAATACTCTCATCTCCTGATATAGCCTTCCCACGAATAAATAATATATCATTTTGATTACTTCCCCCTAGAATAATTTTACTATTAACAAGAAGCATAACCGAATCAGGTTGTGCAACCGGGTGAACTCTTTATCCACCACTCTCCTCTCTAATCGGTCATCCCTCACCATCTACAGATCTAGCAATCCTAAGACTGCATATAGCAGGAATTAGATCATTACTAGGAGCTATAAACTTTATTATCACAATCAATACTCTTCGCCCAACTGGTATACCCATAGAAAAACTATCATTATTTTTATGATCTTCATTAATTACCGCCTTTTTACTTTTACTAAGTTTACCTGTATTAGCTGGAGCATTAACAATATTAATTTTAGACCGAAATATTAATACTTCTTTTTTTGACCCTGTGGGTGGGGGTGATCCTATTTTATTTCAACATTTATTTTGATTTTTTGGACATCCAGAAGTATATATTTTAATTTTACCGGGATTTGGACTTATCTCTCATATTTTAACAGATAACGCCAATAAAAAATTTACCTTTGGTCATCTTAGTATAATTTATGCTATAGCAGGAATTGGCGGACTAGGATTTATTGTATGAGCACACTATATATTTACAGTCGGACTAGATGTTGACACTCGGGCCTTTTTTACATCTGCCACGATTAATTTTTGCTATCCCCATAGGAATTAAAATTTTTAGTTGATTGGCAACTATGTCAGGATCTCCTAATAATTTTTCTATTTCTCAAATTTGGGCGTTAGGTTTTTTATTTTTATTTACCGTAGGTGGTTTAACAAAAATTATTTTAAGATCCTCCTCCCTTTATATCACCCTTCACGATACCTATTATGTAGTCGCCCATTTCCATTACGTCCTATCTATAGGGGCTGTATTTTCTATTTTTGAGGGGGTTATACACTTTATACCATTAGTATTAGGGGTTTCAACTCCCATAAAAATTAGTCTACCACAATTTTTCTTAACCTTTATTGGGGTAAATTTAACCTTTTTTCCACACCATTTTTTAGGGTTAGCAGGTATACCTTGACGGTATACAGATTACCCTGATAGATTTACATTTTGAAACAGTGTTTTATCTTTAGGGTCTATTATATCAACTATAGCCCTAATTATATTTATATGAATTTTATGGGACACTCTTTCTTCTGACCGAAAGGTCTCTATTACTTCAGCCTACTCAACCCGTTTAGAGTACTCTATAGGGTTTCCTCCTTCTACACATACTTTTAATGAAATATCTTCATCTCTCTTTAACAACATTTAACTTATAAATAATATTATAGTTAAAAATGAACCCATGACGTGCCTTATTCTTACAAGATATGCTCTCTTCATCCTCTGAACATTTAATTATTTTGCACCATTTTGCAATAAGATTTATCGTAGGGGTAACTATTATAATATTTTTTATATGCGTTGCTGTAACAGTATCAAAAACTTTTGTCATTAAAACCACGCATATAAATATCACTGAATTTCTATGAACCACCACCCCTATAGTAGTTTTAATAGCTATAGCATTACCTACAGTAAAAGTACTTTACTCTAACGAAGATTCCCATTGACCTGATCTTACTATTAAAGTTATAGGATCTCAATGATACTGAAATTACGAATATTCAGACTTTATAAATTTAAATTTTGACTCCTACATAACACAAAAGTCAGATTTAACTCTTAACAGTCAACGACTTTTAGACTCTGATAACCATGTAATTATCCCTTATAAAATTATAACTCGAATAATAATTTCATCTAGAGACGTAATTCACTCATTCTCATTACCCCAATTTTCGGTAAAAATAGATGCTGTACCCGGACGTATTAACAAATTTTTTTTATACCCAAAAAGCCTTTAATTACCTATGGTTAGTGCTCTGAAATCTGTGGGGTAAACCACTCATTCATGGCAATTTGTCTAGAAGCTGTATCAACTAGAAACTTTATTAAATGAATTAACAAGCAATAACTATAATTATTATCTTACAACACATTTTAACCATGCTAAATAGCTTATCCGACCTATCAAGCATCAACTTCTTAAGTTGAAGATGTCTTTAAAACTTTAGTAACTTAAATTATATAGAAATTTAATTATAGTTTGTCATTCTATAATACTCAATTTATTACCTGCTGAGATCTATACATACCTCACTCTTATCCGAATCTACTATCAATCTCATTCTTTTTTATTATGATATTTCTGGTCCTTTCCTCATTAAAATTTGTTCTCACCAATAAATAACTAATTTAAATGATAATAAATTTATTTTCATCTTTTGATCCTTACAGTGTCAATTTCTATGTGTATTTTCTCATCTGTTTTGTCATATCTGGATGATTATTTATTATATGACAAAACAGATGAGAAAATACATATAGAAATTGACACTGTAATTCTACCTACCGAGAAGGGTTTAACTCTGTTGGCGGCTTCTCGTCAATTTCTATATGTATTTTCTCATCTGTTTTGTCATATAATATTCTTAGACTTTTTCCATACACCTTTCCTGTTACTTCAAGAACTTTAAACATTTTTATATTATCAATTTCACTTTTTACAATTTCAATTAGTTTTTTCTTTAAAAATATATCTTTATGATCTTTAATTCCTTTAGGATCCCCGATTTTTTTATCCCCATTCCTATTCCTGATTGAACTTATTTCTTTATTAATCCGCCTAACTTTATCACTACGTTTATATGCTAATATTACAAGAGGACACATTCTTATACATTTATGTATAAGAATATTCTCCATAAAACCTTTTATAATATTAATCCCTAGAGTTCTATTAAATCTATTAGAATTAATAGTATCCTTTATTCAAGCATACGTGTATATATCTCTTATTTCATTATATATTAGAGAATCTTCTAATTCCTAAATGTTATGTTCATCATTTTTTTTATTTATTTTTTTTTTCTCGAAATTATCAATATTATTTTTGATTATCGATTTTTGGAATTTATCAATATTTTTCATGGAATTTATTTTTTCTCGGAATTATAAATATTATTTTTGATTATCGATTTTTCAGGAAATTATTATGATGTAAAAAAAAAAGAATTTGAAAATAAAAATATAAGAGATAATAGAAATCGGAAAATATTATAATGGCGACTATGTATACGGAAGAACCCGCGCGGAAATATATATAAAAAAAAAGAGAGAAAATTTAAATTTGATATAAAATTGTTTAAAATGCAAGCAGCAATTCCTGTTAAAGAAAACAATGACTCATTTATGACTTTTCGAATAAAATTAGAAGCCTACTTTACACTAAATGATATATCGGACAACGAGAAAAAGAGAGCAGCATTGATATCGGCATTATCAACCTATGACTTAAATAAGGTTATTTTAAAATACGCTCCGAAGCCAATTAATAAAATAAAATACGACGATATGCTAGATTCGCTAATAGACAACGATAAAAAAATTGCACCATTGGAAAGTTTTCAATTTTATAAACGTACCCAAAGGGACGGGGAAACCAATTTAGAATTTCTAAATTCACTAAAATCTTTGGCACTTAAATGCAATTTCAAAGAAAAATATGAAGAGAACTTAAAAATGCAAATAATTAATGGTTTAGAAAGCAAAGATATCACGACAAAGTTATTACTCGAAGAAGATATGGGTATAGAGGAAATTGAAAAACTCCTTCGAACCATGGACTTGATAGACGAAAAGGAAAAAACAAAAGATATATTTTATTGTCAAGCCGGAAAGGAACAAGAGGAAGACAAAATAGAAAATAAGGAAATAAACTATATACAAGACAATAAAAGGTATAATAGTAATAATAATAATAACAGAGTTCAGGAACGCTACAGTGACAATTATCCCCACCAAACGAGATTCGATAACAGATTTACTAGATATAATAATTATGACAACTCGAGTTATGGAAGATATAATAACGTTAATCCGCGGTACAAATATGATAATGATAACAAATATAATAATAATGACAACAAATATAATAACAATGATAACTACCGATATAAAAATTGGTACGACAACAATAATTATTATCATAAAAATAAGTATATATTCTTACGATAAGACAAGGGGAAATTACAACACCAACAATAATAACTTTAAATACAACGACAATCAATATTACAGTCAGACAAAAAAAACTTGCTTCAAATGCGGTAGCGGTAAACATCTGATTAAATATTGCGATCAAAGAGACAAAGAGGAAGATATATCGTATATATACTCGATGGATATCAAATCTTGTAAAGAAAAATTCAAAATCAATTTAAATATAGAAGGTAAGAAAACAAACATGATCCTAGATACAGGAGCATCAGTATCAATCATTTCATTAAAGACATGGAATAAAATCAACTCCAATAAAACAATTCATGATTCGGACACAAAATTAAAGACGTACGAAGGTAACGAAATCGCCATCATAGGCAGCGTGGACGTAAAAGTTCAAATAAAAGAAACCATAAAATATCTACCCTTAATAATAGTGAAAGCTGATGGACCCTCATTGGTAGGTATAAACTGGATAAAGGAATTCAGAGAATTGGTATGGAAAGAATCAATATTAGCAGGAACAGAAAACACATACGATAATAATAACAAAATATATTATGTGGAACAAGAATTAAAAGCCCTAACGGAGAGGTGCGTAACAATATTCGATAAAAAATAAGGGAAATTGAACAATATGGAAGTCCATTTGAGTATAAAAGACGACGCGATCCCAAAATTCTGCGCCCCCAGGAAAATCGCGTATGCCTTAGAAGAAAAGGTGGATGAGGAATTAACTAAATGGATTAATGATGACATAATAGAACCCATATCTCGGAATGGGCCAGTCCTCTGGTCCCGATAGTGAAGCCCAATGGGAATATTAGGTTGTGCATAGATTACAAAATAACTATAAATCCATGGATGACACCGGACATATACCCTATCCCCAGAATACAAGAAATATTCAACAAATTAAGAAAAGGGGAAAAGTTTTCAACCATTGATTTTTCAAATGCTTACCATCAAATAGTAATAGATTCTGATTCGAGGAAGTATTTAGCTATTAACACCCACAAAGGTTTATTCCAATTTAAAAGAATGCCATTCGGAATAACCCCGGCGTCAGCAATATTTCAAAGGACCATGGACCTAATTTTCGGGAAAATGACGGGGGTAGCATACTACATTGACGATCTAATAATTACCGGTTCTTAGGATGAAGAGCATCTAAAAAATCTAGAGGAAATATTCCAACGAATGTCAGAGTTCGGTCTCAAAGTGAATTTCGAAAAGAGCAAATTTCTTAAAGAAAAAGTAAAATACCTAGGACATGTCATATCCAGCAAAGGTCTTATGCCCTCAGACGAAAAACTAGAAGCGATAAAATATGCTCCAATTCCTGAGTCAGTCAACGAATTGCAGTCACTATTAGGACTTATGAATTACTATCATCGATTTATAAAAAATTTTTCAACAATCGCGGCACCCCTTTATGACTTATTAAAGAAAGGCAACAATTTCCAATGGACGGAAGAATGCGGATCCAGTGTTGAAATCTTAAAGAGATGTTTGACTAATCCTCCAATAATCGTTCATTTTGATCCAGGTAAAGATATCCAACTCACTACGGATGCGTCTATGAAAGGCGTAGGAGCCGTATTGTCTCATATCGAGAAAGACGGATCCGAGAATCCCATAGGTTTTGCTTCACGGACACTATCTGCGGCAGAAAAAAACTACTCAACTATCGAAAGAGAGGCATTAGCACTTGTATTTGGAGTAAAGAAATTTTATGAATATTTAGTGGGTCAAACTTTTACAATATGGACCGATCACAAACCTCTTATATATATATTTGGTAACAAAAGTTCGGCAAATATAACGTCACCACGATTGCTCAAATGGTCTCTAATATTAGGAGGGTACAATTGCGAAATAAAGTATAAAGCTGGCAAGGAAAACAAAGTGGCAGACGGACTTTCAAGATGCCCAATGGAAAACAAAACCAAAGACCATAATGAAGAAGTATATTTTATAAACGAACATCCAATATCGATAGACGAAATTCGGGAAAAACTTAAAAACGACGACATGTTAAAAAAGGTAAAGGAGAGTATAAAAACACAATTCAAGTCAAAAGATGACGGTGTACTAAGACAATACGAAATGTGCAAAAACAATTTATGGGAAAAGGACGGATGTTTATACAAAGAAAACAGAATAATAATTCCAACAGAATTGCGAAAAAAAATACTAAACGAATTACATAATGGTCATCAAGGAATCGTCAGAATGAAAAGTTTAGCCAGACAATATGTATGGTGGCCCGGAATCGACCATGAAATAGAAGAACTATGTCGTCAATGCGAATCATGTAACACATGGGCAAACAATCCTCCAAAAATGCAAGATCATCATTGGGAGAAACCGACAAGACCTTGGCAAAGAGTTCACATAGATTTCGCAGGACCGTTCAAAAACACAATGTGGCTCATATTGGTAGACACCTTTACCAAATGGGTGGAGGTAAAAGGAATGACCACCACCACATCTGAAAGAACGATGGAGATACTAGGCGAAATATTTACTAGATGAGGATATCCAGAATCCTTGGTATCGGACAACGGTCCACAGTTCACCAGCTATCGATTTAAAGAATATTGCTTGAAACACCGAATAAACCATGTGCTGACACCTCCATACTATCCGAGCTCCAACGGAGAAGCAGAACGCATGGTACGAACGGTTAAAACAGCTATGGAAAAAAATACAACCCCAAACAAGTACGAAGGATTAAACGAATTCTTATTAGCTTATAGGAACACGCAACATGCAGCGACGGGACAGACACCAGCAAAACTGATGTTGGGACGAAATGTTCGAAATCATCTGGAGATGATTAAAGAGACCAGCCAAGAAAGCCGATCAAACGATACACAAACGGAACAGAGAGGTCAATTTAGGATAGGACAACCGGTGTGGGCCAAAATGTACAACGACAAGGTAAAATGGATAAAAGGAACAATAGTGGCTCGTGCTGGGAGGTGCATATACGTTGTGGATACCTCCAAGGGCCGATGAAGAAGACACCAAGATCAAATGCGGAAGAGAACAGACATTCTCTAAGAGGAGAGATGTAATGTTCATCATTTTTTTTATTTTTTTTTTCTCGAAATTATCAATATTATTTTTGATTATCGATTTTTGGAATATATCAATATTTTTCATGGAATTTATTTTTTCTCGGAATTATAAATATTATTTTTGATTATCGATTTTTCAGGAAATTATTATGATGTAAAAAAAAAAGAATTTGAAAAAAAAATATAATAAAAATATAAGAGATAATAGAAATCGGAAAATATTATACTAAATATATTACCTAATGATAAAAAATCCTTTGTATTATTAATCCATCATTTTGACAATTATTAGGCTCACTTTCAGCGCTAGGAGCAATAGCAGCTTTATTGGGCGTAATATGAAAAACTTCTAATAATATTATTTTTATTCTTTTTGCAGTTGTTACTATAATAATAACTTTTTACATGTGAGGAAGGGACTTACAACGTGAATCCTCTATATCAGGGGAGATATTATCAACGATCTCTAAAAGTTTAGGGTTTTCTTTTATTCTATTCATTGTCTCAGAGATTATATTCTTTGTCTCTTTTTTTTGGGCCTACTTTCACTTTAGCTTTGCCCTGATTCGGAGATTGGTAATAACTGGCCTCCTATAGGAGTAATACCTATTCCCTTTTTAGAAACCCCACTGTTAAACACTATTATTTTATTAATAAGAGGAATTTCAATCACTTGAGTTCATCACTCATTTTTTGCAGTGAAAAAATCCAGCTCAGTGTTGTACCTCACTGCCCTCACTGTAATTTTAGGGTTATACTTTACATACCTTCAAGTTGAAGAGTACTTTCAATCACCTTTTTCAATTAATGACTCTTGCTTTGGAAGAATTTTTTTCGTGGCAACAGTATTTCATGGGTTTCACATCATTGTTGGATCCCTTTTTCTTCTATCTGTAACCCCTCGAATCATAATGGGGTTAATCTCCATACTAAACATGCTTCATTTTGAAATGGCAGCCTGATACTGACATTTTATTGACGTGGTATGACTATTTTTATACCTGTGTCTATACTGATGAGGGGATTAACCTGACCACTACCCGCCCCCCTCGTATAAAGTTTTATACACTTTACTATTTTAGTATAATTAAGTACATCTAATTTCCAATTAGAAAGAAATTAAAATAGTAGACTACAATGTTTCATTCTACTATTTTAATTTCTTTATCCTTACTAATCTCTTACCTTCTGTTCAATCTATATAAAATTTTATTTACACCTACTAAATTAAAAATTAATTCCTTTAGATCATCATTTGATGCGGGATTGACACTTTTGGGATATCCCGAATACCTTACTCCTTAAAAATTATATATTTTACAATTTTATTTATTATTTTTGATCTTGAAATTGCTATTATCGTCTTATTACCACTAATGAAATCTTTTAATGAGATCAATTTTTCAGTTTTAATACTTTTAGTATTAACTGTAGGTATTACTATGGAGTGAATCTATAACAATATTAATTGATACAAGTAAACATCTTATTAAACTGAAGTATACTATAATACCTTGCATGTATTGTTTTAGAAAAATTTCTAATACTCCAAAATTCTAAGATCTAAGATTTCGACTCACTCTATTACAGACAACATTTAATGTGTCCTTAGTTTTAGGTAATTTAAAATCAGAATACTTAATTGTTACTTAAGACGTGATGACTCTCCCTAAAAGAATAATATTAGAATAATTATCCTATAAATTGCTAATTTATATCTATAGAAAATTTTCTATATTATTCTATTCAATGATATACACCGCACATAATTAGATTAATCACAGGACTAATCATAATTAAAATTTTAATAAGCTTCCCTTTAGTCATTAAAATACTTCTATTTATAGAAATATTATCAATTATAGGTAATTTAATAGTCTTTAATAACTATATAGGAACTTCTTTATCTATTATTTTTCTTTTATTTATTTTAATTATAATAATTATCGAGGCATCTATATCTCTTACTATACTTATTAACTTATCAAAAAGTTCCACTTTTTCATAGTGTCTTCATCCTTCCTAAAATATATTATAGGAAGGATGAAGACACTATAAATGATAGTATCCCTCCTCTTAATAACCCCATTTATTGGGTTTCTGTCACACTTACCTATTTTAACAATAATTTCCTTGTCAAACATAAACTTATGGTCCAACACGATAATAAATTTAGATTCACTAAATATTTTATTTACTTTAATATTTATTAGTATTTCTATCGTAGTTATCATTTTCATTATATCCTTAGAATTTGAAATGTTTAAACTTTTAATTATAAAAATTATTCTAGGTATAACTATAGTTATACTTCTAGTATCTCTTATTAATAAAATTCTTTGGTTTTATATTTTTTTTGAGACATCCCTAGTTCCGATCATGATGATAATTTGAGGTTGAGGTTCAGGGACAATAGTCCTTATCATTTTAGCATTTTTAGTAAAATTACCTATTTACATTTTTCATCTCTGGCTCCCTAAGGCTCATGTAGAAGCGTCGGCATCAGGATCCATATTACTAGAGCCGAATACTCTTAATTTTATTAGGGACCCTGCTAGTAATATGGATCCTGATGTCGACGCTTCTATGGGGGATAATTATATCTAGAATCGTGATATCATTTAGCAACGATGGAAAAATTATAATTGCTTACTCTAGTGTATCTCATATAACTTTTCTTGCCATTAGAATACTTCTAATATCCTTTATTTCATTAGAAGGGTCTATCTCAATGAGTGTATCCCATGGATTTATTAGACCTTCTATATTCCTTGTTTTTTATTTAATATATAATAAAATATCTACTCGGAATATAATTTCAGTTAAATCTCAAATAAATATAAAATCTTTATATGCCACATTAATCCTATTTATAATTTTAATATTTAACATTGGGTGCCCGCCCTCCTTTAATCTATTCCCAGAAATTATTATTATTTATAATTTAATAAAAAAAATTTATATATTTATATATCCTATTATCCTTAATACAATTATCTTAATTTTAATTTCAAGTTTTATTTTTACTCGTATTTCTATAGGGGTAAAAAGGGCGGACGTGTCTTCATCCTTCCTACAGGGATCTTTTACACCCCTTTTTATTTTTTTATTTATATCCTTAATCATATGGCAGGGGGTTGACTATATTATTTGTAATTTAAATTTAAACTGTGACTTTAATAGAGATATTTATATAAATATAAACTCACAATAAATAAAAAAATAAAAAGGGGTGTATTCAAGAATAAATTGTTGGTTTGTATAGTTATAATATTAATCTTTATAACTATACAAACCAACATTATAACTAGACTGTCAACAAAATTATCGTATAATTTAATTATACTTAAAAATATAAGATTTGAATTTGATTTTTTATTTGACCCTTTCTCTGTGTCCTTTATTTTTATTCTTACATTAATCTCATTAAATGTATTAGTATATAGATTTTATTACATACTAGAAGATGTAAATAAACTTTTTTATTATATAATATTTAATCTATTTATTGTCTCTATAATTTTTATAGTAATCACTCCCAGAATAGTTATTCTTATTTTGGGGTGGGATGGTTTAGGTCTTACCTCTTTTCTTTTAATTATATTTTACCAAAATCATTCTTCAATAATAAAAGCCACCATGACCCTAAGAATCAATCGAATTGGGGATGTAATAATTATTTTATCTATATTTTTCTTGAGACCCAATAATATTGACATAATCTCAAATATTAATATATCTACTGCCTAAACCCCTATTCTTATTTTAGCATTTAACACAACACTACTGGCAGCTTTTATTAAATCTGCGCAACTACCCTGAAGAGGCTGGCAGCTAGCAGCCATGGCTGCGCCAACCCCTATTTCCTCATTAGTTCACTCCAGAACCCTAGTGTGTGCAGAAGTAATCCTTACGTTACGGGTTCTGGAGTGAACTAATGAGGAAATAGGGGTTGGCGCAGCCATATGGCTGCTAGCAGCCAGCCTCTTCATTAGTTCACTCTCAGCTTGAAAAGAAAAAGATATTAAAAAAATTATTGCTCTTAGAACTATAAATCAAATAAGTCTTCTATTTTCTTGCTGTAAATAAACTTTTTTATCTATGCTTAACTCATTTAATGTCTCATGCCATTTTTAAAAGTAATTTATTTATAAGAGAAGGAAGAGTATTTTCTTCTAATATAAATTCTCTAGAAACTCGAATGAATTCTATTAATTCTAGTAAATTAACTTCACAATCTTCCTCTGATCATTGATAGCTTTTCCTTGCTCTATAGGATTTTTCTCTAGTCATTTTCTTATATGAACAATAATTTTTTTATCTGTATTTTTAACAGTTGAATACTCTTTTCGAATTTTAAAATCTATAAATTTTGAGGAAAGTAGACCCCTCTCAAAATTTATAGACACTCATTATAACTGGAATTTGTCGATCCCTTTAATACTTTTAGGAGTAGGAAAAATTATTATATTTAATCTTATTAACATTTTTTCTTCTTCTTGGGAAATATTTATATGAAACCCAATATCCAACTATTTTGTTCTTTTTGCTCCTATGATTTCAGGATTTCTATCTGCAATATTTGTCGAGGGAGACATCCTGAAATCCTTGACAAATATTGCAGATAGAAATCCTATGAGGTTGGGAAATAGGGATTTCAGGATTTCTATCTTATTTGTCATCGTATTAATACTGACAATAACTTGAAATTTACTGTAATAGATTATTTGGTTATAGCTTATATCACTTAAAGCATAACTTTGAAGCAGCTAAGAATTTTTATCCAAAATGTTAATAAGATTTAATTTTTAATAAATTATTATAGGTTTTGAAGACCTACGGTTTAAATTTTAACCTAAAATTTTTTTTACTAATATAATACTAGTAAAAAATATGATAAAATTAAAAGGATTATTCTAACCTTTCTATCGTATACCCCCCTTACCTTTTTATTAAAGATTTTAGGTATTAAATTTAGTATTAAATAAATAGATCAAACTATAATCATGCGATAATAGTAGTAATATCCCACCCCTGATAATAATAAAAGTATTACTACTATTATCGCATGATTATTAATAAGACTAATAATCCCCACTAACTTCATTAAAAAAATATTAGATGGTGGAAATCCTGACACAGAAAACAACAAAATTATTAGTAGACTAACCCCTGTTACTTTATACATTAACAAATAATTAGCTTTTGCATTAACTACCCTTAAAACTATTATTTTTAAATTTTTTACTCTAAAAATTAGAGAGATGTACATTCCTCTAAATAATAAAAAATAAAATACTCCTCTTCTTACCAGTAGAACTATTCATACTGACATCCCAATTGAAGAGTACACTATTATCATTATAAAACTTCTCATATAAATTGGCGCCAGTAATCTGATTAGTGCTCTTAACCCTAGACAAACCATAATTGGTTTGTCTCAAGATCAAAAATAAGAGGCTGGAAGTTCTTTGTACCAGATAGTGCAATAATAAACAGGAATTAACTTTTGCAATGTAGACATTGGTACAAAGAACTGCCAGCCTCTTATTTTTGATCTTGAGACAAACCAATTATGTATGGGTGCCAATCCTGCTTTCATTAGGCACCCATAGATAATTGGTTTGTCTCAAGATCAAAAATAAGAGGCTGGCAGTTCTTTGTACCAGATAGTACAATAATAAACCAACATAGAATTCCACCCCCTCTCCCAAAATAACAAAAAATAAAAATAATACTAAATTTAATGCTAACCCCTGCCAAAAATAAATAAATGAGCTAGATCTAAATATTCACAAAATACTTCCTAATCATATTATTCGTAATATAGCTATTAAAATTTATAAGGGATTTTATAATCATATATCAGGTATGAACCCATAAGCTTTTAATCTTTAGCTTACCTTATTAATAAAATTTTTAAATTTTTATTAATTTAAACACTGCACAATTTTTAATAGTGATTTTAATTAAGAATTTGAATCTTAATATCCTCAATAATTATACCCTATAAAATTATAATAAGTAAATTTGATAACTCAAGCTGTAAACTTGAGTGAGACTTATACTATACTATTTAATAAAAGATTAGATATTATAAATATTTAATAAGTTGAGTTTGTAACTCAAAGATACTTTTCAAAAGTTTTAATCAAATTTTTTAAAGGAAGATAAAATGAATCTTATCTCAAACCCCCAAAGTTTGTATTTTTTAAACTACCTTTAATATATTAAATTTACTAAAACAGCTGTATCTACTCTCAGAAGAACTAAGAGTACCCCTAACCCTAAAGGGTGTGATATATATCTTAATATTAGGATTAATATACCAACTAGAGGTATTGCGACAATAATATATAAAAACTTAATTAATTTCTTTTATCAAATCATATCACTCTGGTAATCATTTTATAGTTACAAAATATTTCATTTCTAATATGGCATCCCTGCCTTGTAAATAACTTAAGGCTTCAATACATTTGCATAATTTCTTCGAAAGTTTTTAGTGTTTTTCTTTTATCAATTTATCTAGCATAATAAATTCTGATATAAGTTAATATAGTGAGTGTCATGGCTATGACTGCAAATTAACCAGCATCTATTATTTGTGTGGCTATGTAATTTAAAATTATTATTACAGCTGCTGAGAGCATATGATTGCATATTTTATAAGCAATAATTTTCAACTGTGTAGTTGTTTATATATCATTAAAAATGGAAGATAATCTTTTAATATCTCACAATTTTATTCTCAATTACTTATCTAGCTTCCTTCATGTCATTTAAGTGGAAGCTCTAACCACCATATAGTTTTATGATTCGGATTGGTCGTTTATATTCTCTTCTCAAAGAATTGTTAATTTGGTTAGGCCTCTAAATTTTTCCTTATTAGTCCATTCTATAAAACATTGTCTAAAAATGGTAACAGAGGGTTATATTAGTTTCTTGATCTTTTGTCAATGTAAGTCGCTAATTTTATAATATGTAGTTTTTAAAAACCATTATCAATTGAGGCATATGTATGAATTAATTAACCATTTTTATCACTTATAATTCTTTAGACGCAAATTTTTTTTATATCAGCTATCGAAAATATTTATATTGTAAAGATTTTGTATTAAAAAATAATATTTTTAGAAAGGTCTTATATTGTTTTAATAATTTATATGCCATTTTGTATGCATAATATGACAAAATATGAAATTCAGAAAAATTAATAAGAGTTAGCAAATTTTTAAAAAGTATAATATAATAATATAAACCCAACCGAAGGCCGGGCAGCGGGCCGAAGGCCCCGCCTCCCATAAAATTTTTTTTAGTTGAGCCCCCCTGAGATTGTAAAGGCTAGTGAAGCCCCTGAGATAAGATAAAATGGGAAGATAAAAGGCTATAGAGCCATAAAAAATTTAATAGTAAATTTTTAAACTTGTGTTCTGGTGAAGATAAAAGTATTCTACAGTATAGCGAGCTGGGTAATTGTTTTTTTTTATCTCCTACATCAGTGTTTTGCGGACGAAGCTTCCAAGAGTTGTTGAAATTAATAAAGGAACAAATTTTAGCTGTTTAACCAATATGTCTACATAGATACATTCCCAATTAAAAGTGATAACATTTAATAATTAAATGAAATTATGATTAAACCAACTGGCTTTTAATATTTCAAGCTTACATATTTGAGATAATTCATACAATTTATTTATACAACCATAACATTATATCTAGATCCAGATATCACATCGTAATAGATGCTATCGGTGTTAGGTAGTTGCCATCATCCAATATTTAATCATAAATATATATAATAATTATAACCATATAAATTGACTAATGTAATAATTCATAATGTATAATTAGTATACAACAATATATTCCTATATTACATTAATATTGTCAGTCGCAAGTGAGAATAATTAACGTTATTTTATAAAATGTATTCGATAAAAGGGAGTTAGTTATATTTTAACGTTTTTTATTCATCTTTATAATGATATGGGTTACATTATGATTTTTGTTATTATATATAAATTAATATTTATCAAGAATTCCAAATTTTTTTTTATTGTGATGGAATATTTTTTTCTTTTTGTATGGATATAAAATACAATGAAAATTATTACATACATATATTCCCTTTTTTCAATACTAATAATGTCTATATTGTTATATTTTTGATTGACACCATTCAAAAAAAATTCCTAAATCGGGGATTTTTTTGCAGCATAATATCTAAATTTTTTAAAAGCTAAATTTATAAACATGTATTATATCACAAAGAAAATAGATCTATTATATGAATATGTTAAATTTAAATCTTTGATGAGAAATTTAACTACTAAATATATTAAAGCAAGATACCATAATTATTAGCTTATATGTATATTATATTAGGATAATTTCTCTCTCACAGCACAAAATTGTCATGAGTTTTTAATCCTATCTAGTCGAAGTTTTGCAATTGTGATACTCTCATTAAATCCTGATCTTAGGTTTAAATTATTTTTCACTATAATAAACACTTGTGAAACAGTCATGCAGTATGTGTTTACTATCTAGTCTTACGAGCTCTTGATACCATTGAAGATGATCTTACTATTCCTTTGGATAAAAAATTGCCTTTACTCGAAGAATTTTATAATAATCTATATGACACTAGTTGGAGGTATTTAGAAAGTCAAGATAAAGATAAAATAGTGTTAGAAGAGTTTCCGAATGTAAGATTTATAATAATTACAATTATATTAATTTAAATATTTCTAAGATTTCTACAGAATTTACAAAATTACCACAAGAAATTAGATATGTTATCCAAGACATTTGCAAACAAATGGGTAATGGAATGGTAGAATTTCTACAAAAAGAGATAAAAACAATTGAAGAATGGGAAAAAGTATTTATAATTTTGAACTATATACATTAAAATATGAATTTGGATAAAGAATATAATGTAAAATAAAACATGGCAAATGTTATCAATTAATTAGTGACAAGAAATTTAGCATTTACTAAACCATGAGTGATCTTAAAAATTATTTACGCCTAGCCCAGCCAAAATTCTAAAAAAAAGCACCAAGTCTGGTGGTTGTAGGGGCTCTTACGAATTGTTATATAATAATGTCACTAGTTAGAATATTTTAATATTATATGTATTCTAAAAAAATAAATCAGAGATCCTAACCATAATAAATGTTCAGACCTTGTTTGGTTCATAAAAAATAATAATGGTTTTTGTTTGAAACTTTAAAAACCAGTTAAAACTTTTTGTCAATACAAACTAGGCATATTCAAAATCAAATATTCATATCTAATAATTCATATTAAATAGTAAATTATGGATTTTGTTCAAATGTTAAAGTGTCTATGAATCAAATATTCAATGAATATTAAAATGTTTTTTATAAGATTTAATTGTCCTATTGATATGACAGATGGTGTGATTAACTAAGTATATATATATATTAGAGGTCTGCAAGTGGCACAATTTTCAGGCCTAATTCAGTTAAAATTGAGTTTTAGCCCTGTCTGGCCAAATTTATACCTTGACCAGTTCTAATTTTTTTACTAAAGTTTTGGCCCCATCTTTTTAAAATACAGGCCCTCTCTGGCCCAGTTTATTAAATACAAGGCCAATTTAAAATATATAAACTACTATTCATAATATTGAGTATGGGGAGTGTTTAAATTATATACTTTATGGATTATTACTTCTAACAAATATGTGATGATCAATAAGCCTAATAAATTAAGGCCTAATTAAATACATAAACTACTATTTATAATATTGGGGAGTGGTTAAGTTAAAAACCTTTTGGATCGTTCCATGTCAAATGAGCAAAAAAAATGAGATTGATAATCAAAGAAAGGTCAATGTAACTAAGAAATAGCCAAAATTGTAGCCTCCTAACATTTATATTTTTGAAGATATTAGGGTTCAAAGTGGCAAAAATGACGTATTTTTACCATTATCTGCCTTCATTCAATTAAGCATATTTTAATAATTGTAAATAACAAATTTAAAATCAAAATTACATAAAGATCTTACTTTTAGATAAAAAAAAAATCCAATTTCCGGCCATTTTATTTAAAATATATAAGGACTAAAAAGGTTAATGATGCTTGGTACCTTAAGGTACCATTTATCAAATTTGAATTTTGTTCATTTTTCATTTGGATAGGCACTACCAAATATATTTATTATATATATTTGAAAAATCGTGATTTTTGGAAAGCCTCTATGGCCTAGTAGGCAGCTTGGTTTACTTATCCCATGCTCCCGGGTTCGAATCCTGTAAATGATCATGTTTTTTTTCTTATTCTAACTTGGTGGTTCCATCCTTGGGGGGATAATATATAGGAGGCCGGACTCGACCACGTGATTCCGTATTAATATATTAAATAATAAGGATCTTATTACATTTTAATAAATTTTGGTCGGTATTTAGCAAATTAGGTTGATATTTAGAATATTTCCATACATTCACTTGGTAATAAGCATCATTAACCGACTAAAAACGAGTTTTTGGAAATAGTACTGTTATAATAATTAGAATATTATTATTTGTATTTGTATTAAATGGTGGTTTATATACATTTGAATAGTTACGGAAAATAGCCTTTTTTATATAGAATGTTAAATATTAAAATTTGAATATGAATAAAAAGAGATATGATGTAAATTTTAATAGTATATAAATATAGCGATAAAAAGATGTAATATCAAGAAGAAAAAATATTTATAAATTTTTATTTTGCTTTTTAATTTTTGTTATGATTTATTTAACCCTTTCGCGCCTAGCGAGAGCATTTGTCATCAAAATTTTTAATTTTTATATTTAAAAAACTAATGGATGCTACTTAGACACATGAATTTACAAAACAATATTATTTCGTATTTTATAGTTCTGTAAAGTAACGTCAAAAAAGTAACGTCGTTACTAACTCCGTTACTTGTTTGAAAAAGGAACGCCATTCGTTACCTTTATCTAAAGGTAACGAGTAACGGTAACGCGTTTCTTTTTTTGAGTAACGGTAACGCAAAACGTTACTTTACTCGTTACTTTATATTTTTTCTTAAAAATATCAATAAAAAGAAAAACATATTTTATTGTATTATAAAATTACTTTTATTTATTTTTTAATTCTTAATATTAATAATTTAAGCCGAGTTTTAATTCATATCAACCACTTCCAACATTTTTTTTTAAATTCTCGTTAAATTATCAGTCGAAATTAATATTCAATCAAAATTCAAAGTAAATATAATGATATTATTAATTAATTTATAATTTATTTTAAAAGAATATTATGTCCATAGTACTTACTTCTTCAGATGAAGAAGATTTAGCCCTTCCCTGGCCCCAATTTGAATTATATTTTAAACCAATTAAGAAAATTAATGGTACCAAGTCTACACTTTTTAAATGTAAATTATGTCCCAACGCAAATATTTCAACTTCATTGTCAAGTAGCTCAAACATATAAAAACTTAATCATAAAATTATTTTAAAAAAATTTATTATAGATTTTATAGCATCTTATTATTTAACCATGTATTTATTTTAATGATTGTACACAATAAAATAAATTTGAAATGTATAAATATACAGATTATTATATTAAAAATTTATTATACATAAATATTTTTTAAAAAATAAGATTACAATAAAATTTAAGTATTCTTGTTACTCTTAATGGTATTAAAAAATATATATTAAAACAAATGAGTATATTATCAAAATAGAAATAACTTTTTTGCAAATGCAATACCTTTATAAAAATGACTAAGAATTTATTATAATTAAGTTTTGCATATAAAAATTTTAATAAAAAGAACATATTATAATCATATTGTAATTTTATTAAAATGCTAGAAATTATTTAAAATCCCTCAAGTAAAAAAAAAATATAATATATTTATTAAAAATTTATTAGAGTATATGAACAAGGAGAGGAATCGGATGGTGAAATAGTTTTACTGCCATTATTTGATATCAAAATATTAATGATAGTATTGTATACTTACCTAAGCATCATTCCTGTTCAGCACACACTTTAAATCTTATGTATTGACACTGAAAAGGCACTCAACGATGTCCATTATAAAACCATTTAAAAAAACATTTCCTTGTAAACTTTTGTGGAATAAACATGGGCAATCTTCTAACTGTGCAGCCATTTTTAAGGAAAATATGGGAAGATATTTGTTTAAACCTGTTATAACAAGATGGAATTCTTTCTATAACTCTGTAGAATTAATAGTCTTATTAAGGTGAATTACCAAAAATTTGATGAATCTTGCGACATCTGGATTACAGAGATTTTCAGATAACTACAAGTCGTTCATAGAAAAATATTGTATTTCCATTTATAAAGCCACTATAATATTTGCAAAAAATTAAGAAAGTGAGTAATTTTATTATAACAATTTTTTTAATAATTTTTAGATGACCTCAATATATATTATACCAGAGGGAGATAAATTTAAACAATATATTACAAAACCGCATAAATGGGGAATTAAAATTTTCGCTTTATGTGGATCATTTGGAATGCTATATGATTTCGAAATATATTAAAATCCACAAATATTAAAAAACTTTTATGGGAATTAGCGAAGATATCGTTATACGGCTATTAGAAACTGTTCCCCCACTTAAAAAATCATCAAATTTACATGGATAGCTTTTTTTTCATATAATTTAGCAGCTGCTCAAATTTATTTATAAAAATTATTATAGAAGTCATTCAAGAATAATTTAAGTTTCATCTTAAAGATATTGTGTTTATCATGTCGAGGACCCTTAGATCTAATCGATTATCGAAATGCCATCTGGTTGATGATAAAATCTTAAGGGAAAAGGGAAGAGGGTCCCATGATTATAAAGTGGATTCTAATAATATTATAATTTGCAAATGGTTTGATAACAACGGTTATCACCATATCATCATTTATGGGTATACATCTCATATCACGAACGAGAAGATGGTCAGTGTCTGATAAATCTTTTATCAATGTCAAAATTCCGGCCATAATTCAAGACTATAACGGTGGTATGGGTGGAGTGGATCTCCATGATATGTTAATTGAACTCTACAGAACTGACATAAAATGGAAGCGTTTTTACATGCGAATTTTCTTTCATTTATTAGATTCCTGTGTAGTGAATTCATGGTTGCTCTATAGACGCCACATGAAACAGAAAAATAGTAAACATGTATTCCTTTTAGTATTTAAACTCAGATAGCTAAAGGATTGATGATGGTTGGAAAGGAAAATGATAGAAAAGAAGGTAGACCTACGTTGAAGATTGAAAAAAAGAGGAAGTTGAATAGTTTTTACACAATCCCAGATATCAGATTAGATAAAGCAGGGCATTGGCCATCAGCGGCTAGTAGACACAGATGCAACTACTGCAAAAATGGTTATTCAAGATTTGAATGTATAAAATTTAAAATATCTTTATGTTTAAATAAAAATCGCAATTATTTTATTTCTTATTCAAAATAAATTGGATTACATATGAATATCCCAAAGATGACAATTGGTGGTAACATTTTATAATTATATATATAAATTTTTTAAAATAAAAAACGTTGGAAATGTGTTATTCGTGTCTTGTTTAACTCAGTTTTAGAAGAAGAAAAATTTTTTAATTATTTAATAAAGTTATTAGTAGTTAATTTAATTATTCTATGTTATTTGTATGCTCTAAATTCTCATATCAAACAAATACAACCTTCAATTTTTAAAAAAAAATTTAGTAGACATTACTTAACTCTTCATTTATATTTTTAAAAAATATAGGACTGGGACGGAGCCATCTTCTTTCTCAAAATCGATAAAAATGTTTAGAAAAGTGTATATTCCCGAAAGGGAGCGTTTTTATAAAG